AATTAAACCTCGATTAATATTAAACAGTCTTTATGAAATTCAAAACAGTACATTCGTTTAATTATTGAATGAGATTACTCACAATTAAAACATATTTTAATTAAACTTGTTTCTGACAATTTATAATAATGTGCTTTATATGTATTTCGTATAATGGACCAAGTAGAATGGTTATTATTGACATAATTGCATTATTATAAATTAGCAAAATATTATATCAAAAGTCTATATATATCGTTCCTTTGATGATATTATAGTAAGAACAGAGAGACTAATACGATTGAAAGTTGAAATGTAATAAATCACTTTGAACTGGTCAGTAGCTAATAGCGAAGTATCTGAGTTCCCATATAAAATACGTCTAATATATTGGATGGTTATGTATAAAACTGATAGAACTGATAGTACTGATAGTACTGTATAGAACTGATTGATTATAACTAACAATATTTGGTAGAAATGTGAAGGGTTGTGCATCATACACGTGCATGGAATGATTAAATCTTATGATAATTTTACATAAGATGTTGGCTATCATAAATGAAAGAAAGGGAAATATTTTATAGAAATATTATATTGTTGAGAGAAACATGAAAAAATTATATTACAAAGATACTATCAACTTATGAATACTTGGAATATTTTAGAAATTGATATGTAAAAGAAAATACAAAAGTATCATTACATCACATATATGTATATGATATTATAGTCAACATCTTATATTATAGATACGTAGTTTTAAATTCCATTCTACATCATGTTATACTTCAAGTGTCATTTAGAATCTAAAATGTCATTGATGGCGTTCTTAAAAGCAAAATTAAAAAACGTCACAATAAATTCTACTTCTGCAGTTGCACATAATTTAGACATGTAAGCATAAGAATCATTGTATCAAGTTCTATTATTAACCTACTTATGCATCGTCTAGCTAGATAATTTTATCTGTGCAATTGAAGAATTAACTGTAATAAAAACGTTCAACAAAAATCAGGAAATGCGTCAGACGATAAACGATTAACAAAATTATAAGTACATGTCTGAATAATAAGATTACTTGCATGCAGCATATTAAGTTCTATGTTAGCCCTTTAAATCTTCAAATTAGCCTAGACAGCAAGATCGAAGTATTAATTTGCATGCTTAATGTGAACGAGTACTTACTCAAACAGGCTTTTATTTGAAAATATTTTCCTAATCAGCAGCTTTTACTCTCGTTGTCAACAATATTTGTCCGATAAGCATATACATATAACAATAATTGACAATCCACATTGGGGGAAAGTGAATATAATTACTATGCGATAGATTGTTAGCAATTTAATTCAGATTAATGTGAACGGCGTCAAAATTGACGCATATAAAGAAGTATGCGTGTGACAGCGTAATTTTGAAATAATAATGCGCGTAGGCAAACATATTGATAGCGCATAATAACTTACACATTCAAAATATACGCGCATAGAAAGGTCTTTTAAACTTTAATTAAATGGGCGGAGGGTGTTAAATTTAATATTTTGAGCAGTGGGTGGTGATTAATATATATTGTTTTGTAATCGAACAACTTATAGTATTCGCATAATATATCGATAATTTCCTATGACATTATAATAATTTCCGATATGACATTATCAACGCGCTATCACTTCATATGTATACGAGAACTATTCAAAAATCAATATCTGGTAAGCTTGCAAAATAAAACGAGAAACAGAAAAACACTTTATTATACACAAAAATTATTTATATATTTTCACTACAATTTTTTGACATGATCGTCATCCGAATTAAGGTATTTGTCACGAGGCACAAGCTTTTGTACCCTTATCAAAGTATTCCAAACTGGAAATCTCAATCAACTTCTAACTGTTCATCGCTGCCTTCAAATTGTTTCTAGTCACACTTTCATGTGTGTGAACAGATAAAAGTGACGTGGTGCAAGATTCGAGCTGTAGAAAAGATGATCGAATTCCCATTGCACTGCTCTAGAGATTTCTTGATCATCGAGTTCGGACTTTGCACTAATAATGAGTGACTTTCATCTGTTCAAAATGCATAAAAGTATAGCATAAGGAGTGCAGCGATTCGAGGACAACGAGAACTGATGAACTTTTCGGAGTAGATTGAAATTCTAATTTGGCGACACACTGTACTTTAATGAGGACTTACAAAAGCTTGTACAACACTATGACAAGTGTTTCAATGGATGATGATGATGTCGAAAAATAGTATATATATAAGTAATTTATTTCTACTAAAATATCTTTCCTGTTTTTTGTTTTATCTTACAAACTTATTAATTCCCGAATAATTATCGATACTCAAAAAAGAAAACTAAAATAAACATACTGCATTTAATAATAGAAAGCAACGAGATAATAAACTTTATTAACATTGTAACTTTTGAATCGTGCAATGTATATGATGAGTCTGCGTTTTAATTAAAAAATGCTAAAAGAAAGACTATAAAAAAATACATTTAGAATATTATGATACAATAATAGATCCTACATAATGAAAGCTGTTATTATAACATACGAGTATCATGATACGATAATAGATCTTATCTAAAAATGCACGACGCTTTTAACATCAAAACATTCGGACTAAATGTTTGGCTACAATTGTGCAAAATTAATGAACGCTGGTGATACATATCACACCGATATATATATATAAGCAGCGATTGCCATTTCGATTGAGTAGAGCCACTCGAAAGCCTCAGATTGGAAGAAGTTTACGGCAACTACGGCTACTTTAGCGTGCAAAACTAGCCAGAGTCCCGAAGTCTTTCGCTTTGAATCGGTTATTCCAGCCGAGTCGATAGAGTCGCAATTACACAACTTTTACTTCCGACCTAGTTTGCGCTTCGTATAAAATCATTTCGCGAGGAGGATAATGAACAATAATCGCGAACAAATCTCTGACAAATTCTATTCTGTGCCTCTTACGTTATTGATCAATCTTTCTAATATTGCAAACGGTCGTCATATGTACAGAACGCTTTTACATTTATTAGATTTGAGTTCGATAAATGTGATTGTATCGCTAAAACAAGGCATGACGAATCGTTATTGCACATGACAGTTCAGATTTTTATAACTGAACTAACACAATCGTCACACTCTTTAATAACTTTCAATTTCTAAAATAGCTAGACGAGAAGATTCGTGTTTAATCATGAAATAAGTTTCCATGAATAACAACACATGATCTCATTCTAAAAACTCGGTCGCACGTTGGTCTAATATGATCTAAAGATTAAAAAATTCAAAGCAAAACTCGTTTCTCTGGCAACGTCTATCTGGCTCATAGATTCATTAGAACGAAATTCTTCTGCGGAAGTTTCGCTTCAACATAATTATGGTTGGTACTAGATAATGATAGTTTGTATAATAGCAAAAAAAAAGTAAAGATTAATTTCGAAGACTGCAGGAGATTTCCTCCGATCAGCTCGACAATTCAATTATCCGAGCGATTGGATTTTCCGCACCGTCTCCATCAGAAGTAAATTATTTCGTATTACAGGGAGCAACGGAAGATCCATTGCATCCTGTGATGTATAACGAATGATTCAATGTTATGGCATACACAAGAACAAACACTGTTTGCACTTTACAGCTGATGCATTCTTTACGTATCACGATTTTGGGTCGTTTCAAAAATTGATACTGATAATCCAGGATTTATCAAAGTGAGTTGAGATTATCGAAGCTGTAGATGGTTAGAATGATATTCACGTCATCCGGCTGTTGTTCCATTTTATATCAGAGATCAATTAATATGAGCTTTTATCGATCACACGAAATTTCGCTGACTATTCACTGAAATTCTGCGACGAATTATTTTTAAAAATTCTACTTCTAATATTTACATGATCTTTAGCTTAATCAAGTGTTAAGTTAAATATTGTATCGATTAAGCAGGCAAATGTTTTTGCGTATAACTGTATGTATTTCTAAATGCTGTACGTATATTTTCGTCTTTAATTAAATGTCATCTATTTTATAATCGATATCCGTTTTAGTGTCAGATCTATTAAAAATTTAATCGACAGGATATAGAAAGTATTGCAAGTCTTTTGTCATCAGCAATTAATTATAAGTGATTCTATTGTAAACAAAAAATGTATATAACTTATTAATAAAATATAACAAGAGTTATTTAATATCAAATAAGTTATGGGATTGTGAAAGCTATTGATATAAATCAAATTTCGGATACTTAGAATGTTTTTGAAGAACGAATTTAGAAAACTCTGCTCGATCTTGATAGAATTTGTTAAAAGTTGGTATACGAGTATCGCATAAAAATCGTTGCTGCACTTTCGCAAAGTTTAAAGGTTCAATTTCTAAACTTCTCAGTTTCTTCATCCAACTGGGAGCTTACCTTACATCATCCAAAAGCACTATTCTCTTTGCAAGATACACCATAATATTAGTCATAAAAAGTACATAATGTTGTTTGACGCTGTAAGCTAAGGAACAATAATACCTGCAGTTAAAACCATTTCAATATTACTCAATCGTAAATACATATATTTGTGCGAAATCTTGTTTAAATTTTATATTCTTATAATATTTATATATATATTTTTAATATATTTAAAATTTTTAAATCACATTATATACGCTATACACAGGACATGTTTTAAGAATAAGACTGTGGTTTTCTACACATGTAACATGATGCAGCTGATAATAATTTATTAGGAAAAATATCATCAAAATATTATTTTGATCCATATCAACCTTTTCTCGTAGATTTCTCAAGCAATCTCACATAGAATTAATTTTTATTTTATTTTATTTCAAACAAAATTGAATATTCACTATTAAAAGTTATCTGCTCCAACCTACACATATTACGAGAAAGGTTAATAATGATTTCATCAATTTAAGATAAGAATGGTGACAGAAATGTAAAAAGATGTATAAAATATATGCATGTAAAAAGTATCGGAAACAGGAAGGAAGAGAAAGAAACATGCGACTCACCAATGCCTGGGCGGCGCTCTGGTGCTGCAAGCAAGAAACATTCAGTTACAATCACAATAACAACAATCAATTAATGTTTCTTAGCTAGCTCGTGAGAACACTAGTAACAAACAGTTCAACAATAATGCAGTGCTTACGAAAGCTTAAACACATCGACTGGTACATAGATAACACTGAGAAAAGTATGCGAAGCCGTAGAAGCCAGTCACAAATTTGCAAGTTATGATTTACATATTATATGGAAAGTTTCAAACGAGAAATTATAATAACACTTTTGAGATAACGAGAAATTCGTGACTTGGGCTATCTCGATTACATATTTTTCCAAGTACAATTCTTTCCTCAGAATGCGACTGCACGTTGCAAGCTTACATAATGCACAAGTTTCGTTTTAATAAAATATGTATGTCGCATGTATAATATTATTGTTGCAGCTTTGAACAATGCGGAGCAACAGTAATAATAAACGAATTTCGATCTGTCGATTGCGCAAATTTTTTGAGAGAAAAAAAAATCGAATTTCCTATCTTCAAAATCATAGAGAAATTTTTCAGAAGCACATGCCTATTCATCAAAAAATCTTTAGTAAATTTTTTCATATTTATTTATTTATTACCAAGAGAAATTGCACGAGAAATATTAGCTCTATAGTGATTAAAATAAATAAACGCCATCTCAGTATTATAACTATAGCTGTAATATATAATAAACTTTTAGTAGGCCAATTGTTTATCACGTATCTCGCACGACTTTTCGTTTTATTTCCGTGTGAATGTATCATGTGTTCATGTATGTTGTGCACAGTTTGCGAGTTACATAAAAAAATATTTGTTCGCGCAAGCGATGCTGTCACAAGCAGACCATTGTGTAACTCGTTTCGAGATTTAGTGTTCTTCGCGTAAAAGAGAAAATCGAAAGTAGCGTTTATCGCGGCAATAGAATGGGAAAGCATCGCGAGATGTGACATGCATGTGATATAAAGAGATGTACGATGATTTGAAAAATGTAAAAACAAATATAACGCACTTCGATCCGAAGCACGTCGTTAGAGTTAGAACTCGCGACGCAAAGTGATGTCGACCGATGTCAAACGATGTAGAAAACATTGGATTGACATTTAATTAAACCACTTGTCTTGAGAAATGAATTTCACGTAGTCGCAAACGCGTAATAGCCTCGTGGCAATTTATTGTCACTTTTAGAAGAGTGAAGGAGTTTAGGAGGAGAAGTTAGTAAACAATGAATGTCACATCACAAGAATAAAATAATATCGCTTGACACTAAGCGACGCAAAGTATCTGCTTGCGAATGAATTAACATTCTATATTGACATTTATTTCTAATTGGATGTAATCCTATTACAAACTTATTATGTTCGTTGTCGAAAAGTACGCTTCGATTTTTATGTATAAATTCCATTACGATAAAATGATTATTCCTGATATACAGTTTTCATGCTTTTCTCTATTATGCTGCTATTAAAATTAAAACGTAATAATAATATTATCAATATTAATATTGAGTGCTTTAGCAATAAAATATTATTTTCTTATATTTTAAATATTTGATTTGAAAATATGTGAAAAACATTTCAAAGATTATCGAGTTAGGGAATATCATAAATTTTGAATTGTCGCAACACATGCAATGCAATAAAATAATGAAGGCTTCTTGGCAAAATTTAATTAGTATTCATGAGAATTAAAATAATAGATAACTGTAAACGTTTCATAATTAATGTGATTAATCATAACGTCTGTGAGAAAGGAGAAATAAACGTTAAACTGGCTTTTATAAGAAGTAATAACTATATCGAATTTTGCTCTTTTTTCTGGTATAATAATGTTACTAATAATCGTATTGTACATTGATAAATCTTTTTATTATTTATCACTAGTAACGAAGATTTAACAATTTAATAGGGAAGAAAGAGGAAACGTTGTTGCGATATTGACGTTAACGCGCAAAATGAGACTTGTTTACAATATAGTCTGAAGTAACCGGTTACAAAAAAATACTAAAGCATATTATAATATTTCACAATGATAAAATCGATGAGTTACTCTGTAATAAACTGAGAGTAAAGAGAGATAGTCAGGTGAAAAAAATATAATAAAGGGATAAATGTAGAAAATATGATAGACAAATATTTATATATTTCATGAAACGAACGTATTCTAAACAATTTTTTATCATCATGTTTGGCCGGTAAAATTATATTTCTTTTCAAAAAAAAAAGGGAAATTATTACGCGTATAAATTCATTTTTGATTAATTCTCGGTCTTTTCTAAGCGCCGATCTTGAGGATAATCTCGAATGAAATAAACGATCGGATTGGAATCCCTACGTGGAATCGATATGGTCATCAACGTGAAAAATACGAAGAACAGGCAATCGTACCGAACGATAGATTACGAGGAAGCAATAAAATCCTTTAGTCACGTCCTCGATCAGAATTTCTCTCTCGCGATATCACGTGAAGAAAATCAGCGATTAATCGAATCACGTTTACATAATATGATTCGTCCTAAGTGCGGCAAGCGATTATTAGGCATTTTACTTAATATATCTTACGCTGGATGACTACATAAAATCGACAAAGTAAAAGCTAAAATGGTGTTTGGAACCTCCTTAATTAAATAAAGGTGGCATTCATAGAGACTGCATGCTAAGATTAATGTGTCATCTTGAAGCTTTAGTATGAACCAAGTACGAGATGTATTGTGTTACAAGCTTAATTTCTCTACAACCAACGTCAAAGCGTATGAACAAAATGCAAATTCATGAAGAAACGATGGATCTACTTTCTTACTCGCTTCTAAAAATCTGATTGTGGGAATAATTGAATTAAAATTCTTATTTTATACTAATAATTTATGTGATTTATCTTCTAATATAATTTTATATTTTCTGAAGGAAAGAAAAAGAGTGAAATACACGACAAGCGAGATACGATGATGAAAATATTTAGAATATTAAAAATGCGGGGATTTTCTATATATTGTACATTTTAACATTTTACGAATGCGTTTCGTACACGAGAATAATGTATAAGTTCTTAATAAGATATTAACCTTATGAAATTCCTTTTCATTAAAAGATTACAGCGATTAAACGCATTGCGCGCAAAATTCCTCTATGTTTAAGAGTAAGAGAAGGTGTGAGAATAATGTTGACCTATATCGGGCCTCACGGAAGTGCTATATGTGTCACTTCGGAAGTAGAACCATCACTTTGCGGCCGGTAAAATTGCGTTCCAAGCGCGACTCGAGCTCTAACAATTACCGGTGATCCAGTTGAACCATGTTTGCAGACTTACATACAATTTAATTCAGCACGCTTCTATACGATTACACTTTTCAATGTCCATCATCTTACTTCTCTCGCTTCAAGGCTTTTATCCTTCTAAATTAGATCCTTCAAAAGCGATCTAATTCTCGACTATGCGGTACGAATGCTTCCTCCTTCCTCTTCTTCGTTTTCCAAGACAAAGGAGCAGATTATGACGGAAGATTTACGATAGTAATTATAAAGGTAAGTAATTATTAAGGTTGATCGCGAGCACATCGATCAGGCCGACGTATTCCACGCGGAATAACATAATAACATTTCGAATGCAGTTCAGTACGAGTGTTAAGAGAGAAGATGTTTCCATTTGTAAAGTGCTCAAGAACGCGATGATCGCATGCATTTTAATCGATGTTATTAAATAACATGGATATTACGAGTGACGTTAGATGATATATTGTATGTCCCAGCAATCCGATTATTGCATGAACTTTTATATTCTACTATGATTTATTTGATAGAATACTTCCAAGTTTTATTATGATTTAATATACGGCTTTCAAGTACTACCTGCGCAGTACCTTCGGTATTTTTCTTACAGATCCAATAAAGTTTAATGATAATATTGCGACACACGAACCTATCGCAATTAAACGATCGGCATTATATACAAGCTTTTGAAATCAGTAATGAAATTAACTCGTTGTGATTTTGCTCTTAAAGTATAAAGCCAAGCAAATGTCTAAACTGATGTAGATGAGCGTTTAAATATGTTCAAATACGTTTAAATATTAAGAATCGGAAGAGAATGAGCTTTCAGCTGTCCGTATTCGTGAAAGTTCAAGTACTTTCAAGTATTAATACTCCTAATTGAGCCGAAAATTCGAAACTTTTGTAACGATCGTGTCATTATTTCGCTATAACCACGTTCCACTTAGTGCGACACTTATTCCAATGCTATTACAGTTGACCCAGCGGGCTGACGAATCTACGAATTATTGTTCAATTTGCTCGACAAGGCCGCGCATCCTCGATTTCCATATTTCGTAAAAGCTCTCGTCGTGTCATGTCAAAAATTTTTCTGCGTCAAAAGTCATCGAGAGAATGGAGAGCCGCGATATTTCGACAATAATTCCATACTTTGGAGTATTCTGTTTCCATTACTATGAGAATCTTTTATGAATAGAGAGAATTTCGGAGGTGTCTTCATTCACAAAATGTTAGTTTAGAAAAATTTCAAATTTTCTAACTTATCATTACGTGCCTCGAACTAATAAATATTCATTTTATAATTAATGTCTATATTAATTTTACAATTAATGTTGTTATGTATGATTACTAAGATAATCATAGAATAATTTGTAATATTTAATTTCGAGTAATATTTAAATATTTCGAGTAATATTTGAATATTTCTCTTTCTAGATTTGACGAAAAACAGATTATTTTTAATGATAAGGTATAGTAACTATGTACGCGATATTTTAGTGAGATCTTTGAAACAAGATGAGAATGGCATTGTTCTAAAAAAAGATTAAAGAAATATATGCTCGATGTGCAATACACAAAGGAGATACATACTCAGTGTTCGGCAGAAAAGTGGGTCGAGGTTTTATTATACAAAAAACCAATAGTTATAGTTATTAATTATTATGCGCCATATGTATATATGTATACATACATGACAAAGATGCAGGACGATCAACACGTCAGTAGTATTAATATTTTAATATTG